AAAAGGTGAAAAAATGTTTTCCTCAAAAACATGGAAAATGCTGACGTGGCGGGTTGGGGAGGAAAATATTTTCCGTGGAAAATTTAGGCTATCAAACTGCGCAAAAGATGGAAAACGGAAAAAATTTTCCTAGTTCCCTGGAAAATTTCGCCAATTAAACAGGGCCTAATATAAATCTAAATTCTCCAGATTATGAGTTTTCTTATTTTACTCTTTCTATAATAAGAAAAAAGAACATGAATATTTTATATGTCTAGTTTGCGTTACAATCAATAATAAATACTCGTAATAATTAAACACGAATGTAAAAATGATAAATCTATATGTACATAGTTATTGTACATAATAGATTACATAGGCCCATGTGGAAAAAATTCGACAGTGGATGTGAAGTGTNNAAATTCGACAGTGGATGTGAAGTGTGAAAAAGTAAAAATTTGTAGACTACCGATGGATGCGCACCACATGTCAATTATGTAATGTATTATGTAAATGATTATGTACTTGTAGCATGATCCATGTAAAAATGACTCGTTAAAAAATTGTACAGGTATTCTTGAGAGCTTCAACTCTTAAATTTGTTACAGTGAGAACAAAAAAAATAAAAAAAAGTGACGAATTGCCCCAATAATATGCTCCATATCAACTCTCTCAACTCCCCTCTAAACCCTAATAATTATGGTGGTTGGTAGTTTAACATTTGTTTCTTCACAGCTTTAGGCATGGAACCACCCCCAAAGTCGTAATAATATACATACGACTTAATATTCAGGTAATGTTAATACTTAAATGCATGTACCAAACGTACACATTTATGACACATACGGCAAGAATAATGCTATTTATTATTATAATAGTGAAATATCGATGATATGACAATTTATGTGGAATAATGTGATTGAACAGTTCAATTTTTATGAGAAGGGAGAGAGGGAGAGAGAAATGTAAAGGATAATGAGTTGTCACATTATCAATATTCAATCATCATAAAGATAAATAGCATTACTCTTTGACAATGCTTCTCTTTTTACTTCTACTTCTTATAAAAAAAAAAAAACTTCATTAGCGTGCACCCTCTAAAAATTCTTGTAATAAGGCAAAACACTTTTAGGCTATGTTTGATAGCCATTACTTTGCCAAGAACTAGGAAAATAATTTCCATTT